GCCGGGACGCCTGGCCCCGGGGACCCTCGGCCGACTCGCTGCGCCGCGCTGTCCGCGGAAGACGGCGGGACGGACCCTGGGCGGCAGCGAGCGCCGGCAGCTGCCGCGGCACCATGAGGCGGCCGTGGGGCGCGCTGCTGCTCGGCGCTGTGCTCTGCGCACACGGTAAGCGGCGCCGCCGGCCCGCGGGGAAAGTTTGTCCACGGGGTTGGCCGCTGCACGACTCATCTCCCCAGGGCCAGACGGCGCGGGCTGGGGCCCGGGACCCCAGGAACCCCCTTGGAGCGCCGAGACTGCAGGATGGGGAGGGACTCGGACCTCCTCCAGGCTGCTCAAGCTTGAGAAGGGACGGTGGTGGAGGCGCTGCCCCATGCACCGGGGTCTGGGCTGGACTTGGCGCTCGTGGGCTGGCTTCCCTCCTTTGCGGTGGCCCAGGCTGAGAGCAAGTCCGAGTCGCTGTCTCTCGCCTCCCCTCTTTGAAGAGCCCTGCCTTTGGGGTTACGCTAGGGTCTCTGTGTCCTTGGTGCACGCAAATGTGTGCGAAGAAAGGGCGGCAGGAAGAGTGGTGGGTAAACTCGTGCATTGTAAACAGCCCTCCTAGCTGCCTTGGAGGACCCAATGGCATCTGAGTGCTTGAGTTCTGAGCATTCCTCTGCTCCGGGAACAATTCCTCGGACTCCCTCCGAGGGTCTTTGGATTCCACTTGCACGCAGCATCTCCCCTCCGTAGTGTTTTGGGTTCCCTCTCCTGGCTGTGGCCAATCAGCTTCCTGCCTGGGATCCTCCACGGGGGAGGTGGGGTGGGGGTGGATGAAGTTGGAAAAAGGGTTGAAGAGGGACACTGGGAAGAAACTGCTGGAAGGCCCCCGCAGATGCGTCCTGGGGGCGGGGGCGCTACGATCCTCAGAAGGCGGCCTCAGGGCCCGCGCGCTGGGGCCTTGGCCCTCTGGGGAGCTGAACGCCTGGCAGAGGGCTGCTGCTTCATCTGCTCTTTATTAATCTCTTGTTTGGTGCCGGTTCGCAACGTGTGTGTGTGTGTGTGTGTGACCCTGTGATTCTATGTGTGTAGAACCATGGGTCGCCCCGTGACATCGTGTGTAGGATGGTGGGGGCACCCTGTGAGTGTGTGTGTGTGTGTGACCATGAGAGCTCTCCATGATTGTGTGTGTAGGATTATGGGGGCACCCATATTTGTGTGTGTAGGACCCTGGGGGCACCCCATAATTTAGCAGCTGCCTCCGGTTTGTGCCCACAGTTCAAAGAACTTTGAACCCTAGCGCCATGCACCCACCACTGTTTAGTAACCCATCCCCTCTCCTCCCAGCCCAGATGAAGGGGGAGGCTCGGGATGGAGCTGTCGGTCGGTACACACTTCTCCCCAACCCTAATTGTTTCTTGGGGAAGCTCGTGCGGAAATAGTGCAGATTTCGAGACTTGCCTGGCAGAGTGTAGGGATGCCAACCAAGACACTCGATTTAAGTAAGGGTTAGTTCATCGCTGAGATCCAAATCAGAGTTCTAGGGTCTGTTCTTAAAACTGCCGGTGCGTTGTCGATGGCTTTTTCCAATGTCCTCTCCAGCGCGGATGAGCGCGCTCTCGGTGCGGGACGCAGCCGCGCCGCCCCGAGTTCCCTTCGGCGCTCGGCTCTCCCCCGCCCCTCTCTCTCTCCTCGAAGGTTATTTGTAGCCTCTTTGGCGTGTCGGGACAGCAGCCCTACTGGGGTAGGAATGTAGCTGCTCTTCCCACCACATGGGCCCCTTAAAGGGACAGCTGTGCTTTTTGGGGGGTTCCCCCTTCGGGCTGCAGAGGGAGGGGATGGAACTTTCCTCTCCGCCACCTGGAGGAAGTTTTGAAAAAGATCAAGGGAAAAAGCCCGGGCATTGGGGGGGGGGCGGGAAAGGGCTAAAACGGATACCAACAAAGCCTAAGAGGAGATTGTCGCCTCCTGCCCTGGGGAAGGGGAGCTGGAAGGTTCCGGGCTAAGGCTAGCCAAGAACTGTCAAAAGTGCATACCCTACATCCGCAGAGACCTGGGGGGCGGGGGTTGGGGGGCGGGCAGTGGTTAAGAGATTTGTGCATATTTAATGCTTCACAAAATGAAAAGATAGGAAGATTCTTGATCACTCTTTTGGGTTCCTTTTCAGAGAAAAAAAAAGTAATAAAAGTTTATAAGCATGTGGGTGTTTTCTGTCTAAGTATGATCAGTGGTATGTAGATTTTTAACTTGCCTCTGGCCTGATAGTCCTGGGAGGTGGGAAAGGACAAGCTAATAGGTCACTATTGAGACCTGAGACCAAGCATTTGCAGGATTTGGAAGGAACACTACAAACATGCCATCATTCAGTACCCTGAGATTAGGTTCTGGGGCCTGGGGAGAAGATGGTAAATGGTAAGTGTAGCTGTGGATCAGGCAGAGGAAGCTCAGTCAGGCCTAGGACACTAAGAATGTGAGCTGTTTATTTAGATGCTACTTGAGCTTTTCCCTGAGCCTGTGGGTTTGAGCTGACCTTTCATAATGCTCCAACCTTAATGGTTCTGTAGAGAACCTTGGTTCCTTGTAATACCTTGAAGAGGGGAAACGTGTATGTCCAGGTGGTCTCCTCCAGGTAAGCAAATAGCTGAAGATTCTTCCCAGAGTTCTTAGGCAGGTATAAGGCTAGATCTGAGGCTTCATGCAAAAGAGTGGAGCTGACACTGGCCTTCTTTCCAGTTGGCTGTTGTCATGGCCGTGGTTGTCATGGCGCTTGGGTGACCTTGTCCCTGATCTTATTGAACTTGTGAAAGATGCTTGGCTTGTCACTGAGTTTGGATTTCCTCTTCAGTCCCCTGCTGAATATCAGATAACATCTTTGGGACCAGCACATGATATGAAGAACGAACTGTGACAGGTGCACGAGAACCAAGTCTGAACCAAGTCTGGCCGTGTATGAGGCAGAGCACACTGGGCGTGTCCATCTTCTGGGTCAGGAAAGAACACAGACGGTCACAGAGGACAGGGTGTTTTAGATGTCATTTCTAGACCTTTCGCTGTGTAGCTGCTAATCTTAGTGCCTAGGGAGGAGGGAAGGGGGAGCCATTGACTGTGTAGCTGCTCCTTTGTGGAGAAGGTCTAGACTAAGGACTTCATGAATAAGAATGGAATTTCAGGGATTCATCTGATAAGCTTTTGGCTGGATAGTCCCTGTGGCCTTGTGTTTTGAAGGCCTGGGCACCTGTCATGATCCTGAGACAGTTCCATGTCCTTTCATTTTGGTCTGTGAGCGTGGTCCAGCTGTGGGCTCCCTACATTCCTTGATGTGACTCAGCCACATGTTTGTCACAGTTGCCAGGCCATGGGGCATCTGGGTTCTGGAGTATCAGGGTTGCCATTTCATTTTCAGCTAAGAAAGCCCTTTCCCCTTCTCAGTCTGATGGGATTCAATGTCCCGGTGAAGACTTCATGCTGACTTGTCACTGGCAAAGCCTAATTCAGTCCTATAAATAGCGCTGATGAGTGCCTGTGCTTGTCACTCTCCCTCCAGCTCAGAGCTGCTGGGGTCAGGTTCCTTCTTTATACACTCAAGAGCCTTCCCTAAGCGGGTCCCTGTACCCATTCATTTGTTCATTCATTCATTCATTCATTCAGCAAACACACATTTATAAGTGTTAATACAATCTCCTTGGATATAACTTATACACAGGTTTGAATCTTGGCATTGGCCTGGTACTTCCTGGTGACCCTGTGTAAAACACTCCCTAATCTTCAGGGTTCTAATGTGTAAACAGGGGACCCATGTGTAATTTATCATAGAAGATTATTGTGAAGATTAAGTGGGGTAATAAACCAGTTGCCATCAAGGTGGGCTGTGGCAAGCCTGTGTGTTACAGGTTAGAACTTTGATCTGTTTTTCAAGGCTGTACTCTTTAGGAAGCAGATTGCCAGACTGTTCTTCCAAGGTGTATTTTAGTGAGTTTGAACTGTCAAACTTTTGGTTAGTAGCTAAGCAGTTAACCATTATGTGCCTCCCACAAACTGCAAATTCAGGTAATAACCCAAACAAACAAAACCATAACCAAAGAACACCCCAGAAAAAGCAACAAACCTGTTGCTCGACAATCAGTTCCTACTCGTGGTGACTCCACATGTTAAGGAAAATGCTCCACAGGATTTTTCATGGCTGTAATCTTTACAGAGCCTCAGTGTCATACTAAACAATGTGTCACACTGTTAACCAGAAAGATCAGTGGTTCAAATCCACCAGTTGCTCCTCCAGAGAAAGATGGCATGTTTCCTCCCTCACAGCTTCAGAAAGTCAGAGTAGTGTTGCAATGGATCAAAATCGACTCTTTGGTTGAGTTTAATCTTTCTAGAAGGAAATCATAAGTCTTTCTTCCATGGTAAAACTGAGCAGATTTGAACTCTCAGCCTTTCCATTAATAGTTGCCCCCAAACCATTAGCATTACCCAGAGACCCAGATGAGGTAATAGCTCTGGTGGCATAGTATGTGTGCATCTCCAGCAGTTTGAATCCACCAAGAGAGAAAGATGGGTAGTCTCCTCTCAGATTTACAGCCTCAGAAACCTGACAGAGGGTGGCTATGAGATGAGCTTGTTCACATTATTCAGGACAAAGCCTGACAGTTCCCTTGTTCCCACAGCCCTTGCTGCATGTTAGAAGCTTGTTAGCAGGGTTGCATAAGCAGATTAGAGATGGTCCTTGCCTTTACAATATGAGATCCAGGTAAACAAATAATCCTACTACAATGCCATGTGCTAAAAAGGCTTAGTTTGCCCTGCATCTCAGCTGGTTCTTGATTTTCTTTTTTTCAAGATCTTGCCCCTTCTTTTTCACCTTCAGCATTAATGAAACCTAAAAACAGTTCCACTCCTTCTAGAAAAGAGTAGTTACAGGAGTCTAGGGAAGTATACTGAGCCCCTGGCCTGAGTTCTTCATTGAGAAGTCTTGGAGTTGAGCTTTCTTCTGAGATTCACACATACGCCATTCACTGTACGCCATTCACTGCAGTGAACAGGGATGTGGCCAGGCTCACTCTGAGATTGCTGTGACCCGGGGTGAGAGGTACTGACTGAGGTCTCTAGTAGCTGAAACAGTTTGGAATTCCAAGCTCTCCCTCCCACTGGCCTAAGCAGGGAATCTGGCCCCGGAGCTCAGAAGGTAGTAATTG